CTGCCCCCAGCCGATGAGGACCTCGCCTGCGCAGCAGCAGCCGCAGCCGTAGCGGAACACAACGCCCGGAGCAGGCCCTGAAACCGACTCCGAGTTCATTTAACTGCAAGGATCCGCAGCAGTCCAGCAGTCCAATCGGACAGTCAGCTCCATTCCGTCCGAACTTTCAACTACGTATCTGAAGCGCGTTGTTGCAGGCAGCCCGCCAAGACTGTCGCGCATGATGTTATGCGAGCAGTCGGGGCTGCTGGCTGTGAGAATGACCAGGCAATCACTGCAGCCATGCACCGAGCAATATCGAGCACTAAGTTCAGAGAATGCAGTCGGTGGTCAAACAAGTCTGGAAGGCGTTTTAACAGGTCGGTGCAGTCGTTTTGCAAAGCTACAGGAGGTCTTGAATGGCGGCCCTAGTTCAGCAGTTCAGACTCTCATGGAAGCACCACTGGAGAAGACTGCATGCGTGAGCCGGGGTGTTGAGGGCTAGCGGCGCCTGCACCTTCAAGCTTAAGCAGAAAAGAGTGCTTCTAAGGAGGAGGGCATTGAATTCGGTTCCCATCTGTCGGTTTAGTGCCGGCAGATGCACTACTCTGGCAGACCCAATGCGAATATTTTGATACAACTGGACCTAGGAGGCGCATGCCAATCTGATGAGGAGCAGGTCCACACTTGTGGTCTTACATGCAAAGAACCAGGCGACGTATGCAATAGCCCACGGCACATGCTGGGAATAATGGTGCCGGTTGCAGCAATTGAAGTTCAGCTGTTCTGCTTGACTCCTTCGACGAAAGATCGACCTTCATCAACAGCAGGGAAATGGGAGCACCGACACGCCGCCAAACGGGTGACTCAGGCGAAGAAAACCGAGCACAGTGAACAAACAGCATCCAGCACGTTTTGTCCAACTGAGGCGATCACAGCTTCTGCACGCAAAGCAGCGGAGGCGCGCATCCCGCTCAGCGTGTATAGAGAGGGAGAGAGTGAGAGAGAGAGAGAGAGAGAGAGAGAGAGAGAGAGATGAGGAAGGAAGGAAGAGAGAGATGAGCGGGCGAAGAACAGGTGAGCCAGGCGCATTCACTATGGCAGTAACTGTGAACTTCCCGCTAGACACCGCCTGCGTAGTGCGCAGTGGATCACAGCCCGTGAGGTCGAAGACACTACAAATAAGGGGTCTCCAGGGCTAAGCTAGGGCGCTAGGTCGGGGGAAGCATCGATCTCACAAACAGGGCGACAGTTTCACTCCGACTCAGACAAGACTTGGGCGCGCAGAGGGTGCTTGCGCGCCCTTCATGCCCCGAAGAAGAAGAAGAAGGAGGAAGGGAGAGAGAGACAGAGAGAGAGAGAGAGCGAAAGAAAGAAAGAGCGAGAGCGCAGGAAGCAAGAAAGAAAGAATGAACGAAGGAAGGAAGCAAGAAAGGATAGAAGGAAAGAAAGAAAAGGAAGAGAGAGAAAAAGCGGGCCGTCGTGGCCGAGGTTTCTTAGGGGGGCCTCTCCGCTGGGCAGAAGCAGAAGAAGAAGCAGAGAAAGAGAGAGCATGACAGAGAGAAAGTGCGGGGGCAGGTATGTGTCTTCACGTGCCTTTGTTTTTTCCTTCTGCCCCAAGTGCCGTCGTGCTTCATCTGCAGGCCTCACTGGCTTTGCACGGAGTGGCACCCGCTGCTGTTGCAAAGAAGACCTGGAGTCGCTCAGAAGCGAAAAGTTCCAAAGGGGGAAGGAGGGGTGGTCAAAAGGAGGCGTCGAGATGAGAAAAATTCTTGACGATTGCGCGCACATCCAATCAAGTTCTGAAGTCTTTTTCGGGGGGGGCACACAGGGCATTACATGGCAATACTTCTCAGGTACGGCTATGGAAGTCTTGGGCCATGCGGGCACAGCTGCCACCAAGAAGTGGACCGACCTGGTGACTTGGATTTTCGCTGACGTTGATGCACATTGATTCACATTAGGGCCTGCATGTGCAGCAGCACGAAGATGAGAGGGGAGGCTGGTGGTGTTGGTTTTTGCCAGTCATCGGCTTGCCGAGGTCCGAATACAGGCAACATCTGCATGGCATGCGCAGGCGGCACACCTCACAGACGGCCAAGACATGATCTCTGCCTCGTTGCCTCGTTTACCTGCTGTCTGGTTGAAGTGACTGAAGTAATGGTGCGTTCTCCTGCGAGGCGGCAGCTGCCGGACTACATGCCGAGATTGACCAGGCTGGTGGCAACTCACAGAGCTGTAGCTGGCGCGATTCGCGAAGATCCCCCACAGGCGCTGGATAGCATCAGCCAGACACTGGCTCAAGCAGCAAAGGCCATGTGTGATGAGAGATTTTGCTCCGAATTTCGGCCGTGCGCAGTACACGTAATGCACGTGGAAAAGAAACCAAACTGGGCCAGGAAAAGACTACCGTCAGGGCTTCCAGGCCGCTGCTTGGCAGCACAGGATCTGGTCCTTTCTCCCATGTTCGTCATATGTTTTTTTGACAAATCGTCGCTATTCCAGGTTCTTGCCAGCAGGCTGGAAAATGGCAGCGCTGCTTCTCTTATGCTTTTGCCTGGTTCTTGCTTTGGGCCACAAGCTCAAAAGCCTTGCAGCACTGGGGCTTCATGGTCTTAACGCTGTCAATGCTGCCGCTCGGCCTGCTGAGGCTTGACAGGTGGTAAGGCCACACAAAACCCGCAGTGCAGAGCCCACGTTCCGTGTCTTATGGCAAATGAGCTTTGCGCGCTTGGTCAGGTGCTTCGAAGCGCAGCTTCTTCGTTGAAAGGCCCCCCGCTTCAGCCGATGGTTTGATGCCTGGACTGCCCTTGCACCAACCAGGATGGCTGGGCAACCATGACGACATCAGTGCGCCCAGTCAGCCAGGGCAAGCAAATGTCAAAATCCCATTGCAGTGCACTTGGAGGACTTGCTCGAAATGTTTGTTGCTCTCACAGCGGGCAACAAGCTTACGACGTCGCGCGCCTACATCCAGCGAGCATGTCTCATCCCAGCTAGATCTCGGCTGAAATGCTGGTCAAGGCGCTGGCTTCACAGCAGGACAATGAAAGCGATGACGAGCCAATCAGGTGCTCAGTTTAGTGCCGTGCAGAGGTGGAGATTGCACCCTTCTTCTTTCACAGGCACAACACGGCAGCCTATCCATGGTTCTTCGAGGAAGACGCTTGTTTTTCAAAAGAACTTTTCGAGAGAGCGCTATATTTGGTTCACGTTTGTGGCGAAGCAAGTGAAGCTTGAAGCTTTGTTAGCTTCGCGGCTTCGTCTGAAGCATAGCTGCTTCTTGAAGCTCTGAAAGCTTGTCAGCTTCGTGAGCCTCGGCTGACGCCTGAAGTCTGGAGCCTGAAGTCTGAAGCTTCTTGAGCTTCGCGCTCCGCCTGAAGGCTGAAGTCTGAAGCTTCTCGAGCTGCGCGCTTCGCGCGTGACGTCTGAAGCTTGGAAACTTGGCGAGCTTCGCACTTCGCCTGAAGCCTGAAGCTTCAGCTCGAGCTTCGCGCTGCGGATGAAGCCTGAAGTCTGAAGCCTCGCGAGCTTCGCCTGAAGCTTGAGAAGTTTCTCGAGCTTGGCGCTCGCCAGAAACATGAATCTGAAGTTTCGTGAGCTTCGGGAGCTTCACTTCGCGCTTCGCCTGAAGTCTGAAGCTCTGAGCTTCCAGAGCTTCACGCTTCGCCGGAAGCCTGAAGTTTGCAGCTTCTCGAGCTTCGCCTGAAGCCTGAAGCTTTCTCCAGCTTCGCGCTTTGCCTGAAGTCTGAAGCTTCTCGAGCTTCGCGCTGCGCCTGAAGCCGGAAGTCTGAAGCTCCGCGAGCCTCGGGAGCTTCGTGCTTCGCATGAAGGCTGAAGAGCTTCGCGCGCTTCGCCTGAAGCTTGAAGTCTGAAGCTTGCAAGTTTCGCGAGCTTCGCGCTTCAAATACGAAGCTCCTTTGACCCACCCCTGGCTCGCAATCGACTTTTCAACGCAACACATTTGTTATTTTTTAGCGTGCATGCAACGTATGCAAATACCAGTGGAAGGGGGAGGAGGGGGGGGGGGCAGGGCGGACCATCAAATGCCACAGCTAAGGATCGCTTTCAAGGGCCTCCTAAGCTCCCCAGAAGCATTTTTGCACTGCAGCGTTGTTGCATCGGGCTGTGTTGCTTGTTCGCAAGGCTTGTTGTGGTGTTAGAGAAAGCTGCTTTGGAACGAAGCCGCGGAGCTCTCAGCATTCATTCATGCACAAGAAGGGCTTTGTGCGGCAGATGCTGAAGAAGCGGAGGTGAACTTATCGGATCCAGAGCCGGGTGCCGAGCTTCACACGCTGCGACCGGGTTGTACCTTCTTTTCAGACACTTGCCCAACCAAGGCAGTTGCTCCGCGACCTGACCACCCTTTGCAAATTACGTTCGACGCATTGGTTGCTCGCTCAGTTCAGTGCGGTCTTAATAATCTCGGCGACGAAAGTCAGGTAAAGCTAGCCCACCATGTGCTTGAATTCACTTCATTTGGCACAGCATTTTCTGTCGTGTGCTGTGAAAGGTGCAGCGCACACATTGCCCTCAACAGTAGTATGTTGTAGTTTGTGGAACTTTCAACAGTTTGGCCAGCGCGCTCCTTAAACCCCAAGTTGGTCCGCGTCCGTGAACATGCCAACTCACGACGCAGAACTCCTGTCAGAACGACCTATTGTTTCCGCACCGTCTTGAAGTGTGTGTGTGTGTGTAAGAGAGAGAGAGAGAGAGTGTGTGTGTGTGTGTGTGTGTGTGTGTGTACTGCTGGACGTTGTCTGATGGCACCTTGTGCATCCGACACTCCAAGTTGGTCGCCAGGAGACGCTTTTGGCCAGCGACATCAACCAGGCCAAAACGGCAGCACTGTGGTGTGAATCAGCTCGCATCATGTGTCCACTCACATTGAGGCTGGTCGTCTAATCGTGTTCCTACACTCCGCACAGGACGTGTTTGTCGAGGTACGTGTGATTCATTCGTGCAAGCATGAAAAGGTTGCTTTTACTCATTCCAAGGTGCATCCTGGCTTCTGCTTGCCAATGAGCTTGCAGAGCTTTGCCAAAATGGCCTCTGCCCCAATGAGTGCTTCAGCCATCCAAGTGTGACTTCTTGCGGCGGCCCAGGTTGCGAAAGTGTTGAAAAGAAGACGTTATACAGGGTCTACCCCGGAGGCTTCGTGGGTGGGGGTGGAGGAGGGGAGTGCGAGTCAAAGCAGTTCGGAGCAACTAACAGCAAACCTTTCAGATGCCTTTGGCGACAGGCACCAGCTGTGTTGAGGGTTCTCGACGGACCCTTGTGCGAGCACCTCCCGCCGCTTTGTGGAATAGTCGCTCATGTGGTGCCGGAGTTTAGTTAGGGTCAGGTGCTTATGTTCCTACAATTGTTTCCGGTACACATAGAGAATCTGAGAACGATGCAAATGGATGCAAATTCATGTGTAGCACAGAGCAATGATATGCACAGACATATCCGATCTAAGGCAGGACTGTCCAAGCTACTCCTTGTCTCCTCAAGGCATGGGCAAGTTGTTGTCATTGTCTCCCTGCTTGGAAATTCAGGCGTGCCTGACCTTGCCCCCCTGAAGCAGGCGAGAGCATACGGTTGAAGGACCGGGCTGAAATCTGCTTGCGCCGAATGCAGCCTCACCAAAGCTGTGCTGGAGTCAGGGCTTGCCACCCGGGGCACCCGAACTTTGCAGAGCTGGGCGATGCAGTGCGTACAAACTCGAGCGGAGGGTCTGAAGTGTCTGGAGGTAAGCTTGTTGACATGCAGGACTTCGTCAGTGACATGGCAGCAGTTTGCCCATCCAGCTGCGTCCCAAGACAGTAGCCACTGTGATCACAGTAGTCTGTCAAAGGGAAAGCTGGGGGCCATTCAACCATTGAGCTTTCGGGAGCTGTTGCTTCTGTTTCGAGCTCTTCCCGAGGTTCAGGCTGTTTGCCGCCGGGCAGTTCACAAGAGCCTGCCGGAGTAGCTTTACCACGAGCCTTTGCCAGCTGGGCCAGCTTGCCGAGGGCGTTGACTTACGGATGCATTGGTTTAGCGCTTCATATGCAAACCAACTAGCACCTCAGGTTACACGGTTAAGACGGTTAAGCATGGAACCCTTAACCTGATGTGTGTTGGCACAGGCTCGCGCAAGAGCACTTGGAAGCCTGCGCCAGGCATTCTCCGTTGGCGCGTCCACCGGCGATGCCACGCGGGAGCTCCGAAAGGGAATTGGATATCTATGCCAACAATGCGCTTTAAGACCAGGAACCCTCTCCTGCACGTTTCGGGGACGTACGTGCACACGTTGAGAGAGATTTATTCTTTGGTTTGAAATGCGCTTTCTTCAGGCGCAGCGTTTTTCCACAGCGGCTTTTCATAGCGGCTCGAGCACCACAGCTCCTTGCTTTCGGATCCTCTGCCCTTGAAGTCTTCCTTGGAGTCCTGTCCCACTGATAGAACTGATAGATATGCGGCACCGAATCTTGAGAAGGGCCTGTGTTGTGTCTATTGGAATCCATAGATCCCATGGCTTTTGCTCAACGCTTCCCTTCTCTCAGCCTGATTTCTGCTGCCAGTTGTACTCTACCATTAAGAAGGATCGTGTTGCAAAGCCCCCTTCGTTCTGTCCGGACGTCTTTCGGTTGGAAAGTAGATTGCACGTAGGGCGTTCGGACACTCAGCTCAGCCCAGACCAGTGTGTTCTGCCGTTTGGATTGGAGAGAGGAAGCAAGATTGCTTGGCTGAGCGATGGCATGTTTGAGAGGATCGGGTCGTTTAGCCTGCGCTGCAAGGACCCGATGTTTGCCAACAATGCGCGGCAAAGGCACCAGCTGGTAAAAGCTAAAAGCTGTGTGTGGTTGTGGAAGGTCATGAGACCTGAGTGTTATCACGTGCAAGCTGTACCTTCTCGACTCTAGAAAGAACCATGGGCCAAGCTGTCAAAACTGTTCTCAGCAAAGACGTGCTCATCTTTTGTGGACCTGTTGTTCAAGATGTGTCAAGGATCTGTATATGCCCATGGGATTTGACCGCCGCTGCCTGCTGCAAAATGCTGTGTCGCGTCCTCGTCCCTTGATGCGCGGAGATGTGTGTGGAGCTGCGTGAAGAACTGGGCATGCCGACTGCTAAGGTCATGAGTTTGAGCGCTGCTGGGACTTGCAGCCCGGATAGCTCTGAATCAGATTAAAAGCTGCGCGCGCGAAGATGCGCGCAAAGCTGTGCACCATCCTTGCGTGTCAAGTATCGACAGCAAGAGCTGAAACTCGCACTCACGAGGGGCCTCCTCGTAGAGCTTCGTGAAGTTTGAGACGAAAGCGCTCGCCATCGTGGTTCTGCGAAGTCTGCGCCGCAATGCACGACTGGAAAGTGCACCTGCCACAAGTGCGTGGTGCACTGGTGCGAAAGACGAAAGCTCCCCGCAGAAGCTCAAGGTGTGCCCTCGAGCTACGGCGTGTCGATTGCGGTGAGAGCAAACTCGGAGCTCGGCAAACCGCCTTTCAAGCAAATGGCATGTGCTGAAAAAAAAAAAGTTCCTGCGCAGCCTCCGCTTCCTTTTCAGCCCACCCATGACCTTCCTCTTCGGCCAACGTTTTTGGTTGCATGGTATCCCCCCACCCCATCCTCTTCAACACACCCCTTGACCTTCCTCTTTGGCCCATGTTTTTGGTTAGATTCAATCCACGCCCCTCTCCTGGTGGTGTGGAACACGTTGTGCCCTGGAGCGACAATAGCATCACAGGGGGAGTGAAATTTCAAAAGGAGGGGGGTTAGCGGTACGGGCCTTCGCAAGAAACCGAAACCTTAAACCTTGGCATCTGGAGTATCATCCTCATGCTTACAGGGTTGCCCTGGGAAAGAGAGGGGGGCGGGGGGCAACTGTCCGGAGGCGGGGAGAAATATTTAGAAACTGATCATCGAAGCACTGCGAACCCAAACACCGACACCTCCACGCCCTAAACCGTAAACCCCGAACCGCGTGGGCGCACGAGTGCACGCCTCTCTCGTTCTTTCCCTCGCGTTCTCTTCGCTCCCTCCCCTCTCTCTCTCTCTCTCTTTCCCTTCTCTCTCTCTCTCTCTCTCTCTCTCTTCTCTCTCGCTCTCTATCTCTCTCTCCTCGCTCTCTCTCTCTCTCTCTCTCTCCCTCTCTCTTTCATTCCTCTCTTTGCTCTTCGTTTTTCTCTCTTCTCTCTTCTTTCTCTCCTCTCTCTCTCTCTCTCTCTTCTCTCTTCTCTCTTTTCTCTCTGTCTCTCCCTTCACTCTCTTCCCTCTCTCCTTTCTCTTCTCTCTCCTCTCTCTCTTCTCTCCTTTCTCTCTCTCTTCTCTCGCTTCTCTCTCCTCTCTCTCCTCTCTTTTTTCTCTCTCTTGTCTCTCTCCTCTCTCTTTTTTTTCCTCTCTTCTCTCTTCTCTCTTCTCTCTTCTCTCTTCTCTCTTCTCTCTTCTCTCTTCTCTCTTCTCTCTTCTCTCTTCTCTCTTCTCTCTTCTCTCTCTCTCTCCTCTCTCCTCTCTCTCTCTCTCTTCTCTCTTCTCTCTCTCTCTCTCTCTTCTCTTTCTCTTTCTCCTTCTCTTCTCTTCTCTCTTCTCTCTTCTCTCTCTCTCTCCTCTCTTCTCTCTCTTTCCTCTCTTTGGTTCTATCCCCCTAGCTAACGGGCGGAAGGGGCATAGGACCTCGTAAAAATCCAGTGTTTTTCCGGGTCGACCTAGCACAAAAAACCAAAAGGGTCAGGTGGGCCTGAGAAAAATAGCAGGTCAAAGATGCTGCCAGTTTCGCGTTCTGCAGTGCTTGGGGGTCCCGGTGCTTACTTTTCGCGAGACTACAAACGTTCAGAAGAAGCTTTGATGCTCATGATTTTCGTGCACGCGCACAGGGTCGGGGAACCCAACGGCCTCTCACAACACGGTGCTTGTCCAATTCTATACAGGCTGAGCGTTCGAAACCTCGCGAAACCCCCAAAAGTAAGCACCCTGAGGCGGCCGCCCAAGCGCTTCGGGCCTGGGCCGGACAAATTTTTGGTGGGGTCGGCGGCACTGGCGCTCGCGCTATAAAGTGTCGGCAGGGTAGGGGGGGTGGGGTGTGCAGCCGCACAACATTAATCTTGTGAGGGTGGGGAGCGTTGGAGGTAGGGGTGAGAGCGACTCCAACGACGAGTACGACGACTACTACGAACGACTAGTACGAGTAGTAGTAGTGGTAGTAGTAGTAGTAGCAGCAGCAGAAGCAGCAGCAGTACTACTACTAATCCTCCTCCTCCTACTACTACTACTACTACTACTACTACTACTACTACTACTACTACTACTACTACTACTACTACTACTACTACTATTACTAAACACCAACCCACCGACGCCACGGGTCGGCGGATATATATATATATGGTCGCCCCCCCCCAATGGACCAACCTCCAACCATAATGGACCCACATCGGCATGTATAAGGTTCTCGAGACACTGCAGCCTGCCATGCTTTCCCTGTCTACTTGTTTTTGCTGTTTGTGCTTCCTGTGTTTTTGTGCTTTTTTTCGTGCATTTTTGTGTGTTTTGTATTCTTTTGTGTTTTTTCTGCTTTTTGTTGCACTTTTTGCACTTTTTTTGCACTTTTTTGCACTTTTTGCACTTTCTTGCACTTTTGTCTAATTTCATCACATTTTTGCAAATATTTGTCCTTTTGAATGTGCTTTTCCAATCCAAAAGTCCAAAAATCCAAAAAGCCAAAAATCCAAAGTTCTCCGGACAATCTCCCAGGAAACTTTGGGTTTTTGGATTTTTGGATTTTTGGGTTTTTGGATTTTTGGGTTTGGGGATTTTGGGATTTTTGGATTTTTGGATTTTGAAGACTTTTCACATTCGAGGTTCTCCTTTGTTTGACTTATAAGAGGGCGGCCATTCAAATGCACCCTTATCAGAGTTTCAATTGCGTCTTAAGTACTCGAAACATAAGCACTAAATTCACAGGTATATCCTTAAATGGCATATCCTAGATGGTTGTGATTCTACAGTTTCTGAATTTGAGAACCATGTCAATTCTTACTTTTCAAATCACTGAGGTAAACACGTACGTGTGTTATGCACAGGGCTTTGCTAAGCAGGCTTTAGCAGAGAAAGCCCTTATTTGCCAATCTACTTTTGTGCATATAAAAGAAGCTGAATTATCATTTTTTCCAAGAACAACCATTCTGGGATCCTTGTACCTGCTGTTTAAAAAAGGTTATATGTCATGAACACCCTGACTTTGCGATAACGAGTGTTTTAGTTTTCTGATCCTTTAATTCAGGCTCTTAATATTGAGTTGCCCACCTGTGATTATTGCAGTAAACCCTGCTCGAATCTGATTAACGTCTTAACTAAGTACTCGATTGAAGACTGTATCGTTTAAATCCTAAGTAGCCTGCTCACAAAGCCAATGAGATTTCGAAATATCCTACTCAAACAGCCAACAAGAGGCTGAACGGAAGCGTTCAAGACAGTAATAGGGCTTAGGCCCAATATACGGCTGGTGCACTGTCCACTCGAGGGTCAGGGACTTCCTGTATGGAAGTGAAGTGTGCATTCATTTCCAGGGCGCGCATTTCATACTATGAGGTTCGGTTGAACTCTTATTTTATAATCTTGCATATGGAGCCCCTGTAAGTATCTCGTGTATATAAGAGGGCGGCCCTTCAAAGGTACCCTTATCAGAGTTTCAATGGCGTCCTACTCGAAACGTGAACATTAAATTCACAGGATATTAAATGCAATATTCTAGAAGGTTTTGATTATACTGTTTCCATATATGAGAACCATGTAAAGTTTTAGTTTTTCAAATCACTGAGAAAAACACGTACATGTGTTATGCACAGGCCTTTGCTAAGGAGGCTTTAACAAAGAAAACCTATATTTGCCAATATCTAATTTTGTGCATCTGAAAGAAGCTGAATTATCATTTCTTCAATAAGAACCATTCTGGGATCCTAGTACCTACTGTTTGGAAAAGGTTATCTCTTATGAAAGCCCTTACTTTGTGATACGAGTGCTTTAGTTTTTTGCCCTACTACTTTCTTGAACGCTTCTAATCGCTTTTTGAGCAGGATATTTCAACATCTTATTGGCTCTTTGAGCAGGCTACTTGGGATTTTCATTCACGTTTTGAGTCGTTGGGATGTTTTTGAAATTCTGACAAGGGTACATGTGAATGGCCGCCCTCTTATAAGTCAAAAAAAAGGAGAACCTCGAATGTGAAAAATCTTCAAAATCCAAAAATCCAAAAATCCAAAGTTTCCTGGGAGATTGTCCGGAGAACTTTGGGTTTTTGGGTTTTCGGATTTTTGGACTTTTGGATTGGAAAAGCACATTCAAAAGGACAAATATTTGCAAAAATGTTGTGAAATTAGACAAAAGTGCAAGAAAGTGCAAAAAAATGCAAAAATGTGCCAAAAGTGCAAAAAAGTGCAAAAAAGTGCAAAAAGTGCCAAAAAGTGCAAAAAAAGTGCAAAAAATTGCAAAAAGTGCAAAAAAGTTCAAAAAAGTACAAAAAAGCACGAAAAAGCACAAAAAGCATAAACAAGCATAAAAAAGCACAAAATCCAAAACTCCAAAGTTTCCTGGGAGATTGTCCGGGGAACTTTGGATTTTTGGATTCTTGGACTTCTTTTCCATTTCGCGGTTGGTCCATTGGGGGGGGTGAGCATATATATATGTATATATGTACATATGATATCTTTGTCTCTGTGTGTGTGTGTTTTTTGTGGAGAATGCTGGGCCGCATGCGAATACATTTTCAGCTGACAGCAAGCAACGGACATGTCGGCAGCTGCACGATGTCGGAGTGGATGTCGCCGGCACGTTCCGCAGCTTTGCAAAAATAAGTCCCTTCTTAGTTGCGCTGTTCGTGAGCTTCACCGAGGCTTGGACACAGTTTGTTCACTGTCACACTGTCGTGCGGCATGACGGGCTGGAAGGGTGCTGCTTGCCAGCTTGTGCGCCTTGTGTGCGAGGATGGTCCAGCGCCGACCAGGTCGAGCAGCTACTGCGTGCAGGCCTCAATTCTCATGGCTCCGCTTCGGCCTTTTGGCATACCGTCAGACATGTAGGGTACAGGTAGTTTAGCGTTTTCTCGCCAACATTGTGCGGCTGACACAATTGACAGAGACTGAGGCTGGTTGTTGCCACCGCAACAGCATGGATAGCCGCCACGACGAGCTTCGTGCCGGGTATCCTGAGACGCAGCCAGAGGCTTTGCATGCTTCGACAGCACTATGGGTGACTGCTTGCCAGGTACTAGCTTACCCAGGCAGCCCCATGTCGAGGCGAAGGCACGAGAGAGGTGAGCCAGACTTGGTGTGCTCGTGCGGGCTCATGACATATTAGCGCTCAGGCTGCGGGCATGGCCGACATAGGCGTCGACGTGCCAAGCATGAGCATCCCCAATCCGGCAGTGCAGGATGCGAAGGCGCTGATCAGATGTGCGCTTGCAACTAAGAGGTGCATTGGTGAGCAAGCGCAACGAATCACAGCGTGTTGTGCAGAAGCGCCTTGCAACAATGCAAGCTCTGAGTTGATACCTGAAACCCATTAAACGTTGAGATGACAAGCTTGCACGCAAGTCAACCAACAGCAGTTCTCCAATGTGATGACCCTCCCCGGCTGGTGCAGCCAAACGGGATGCCATCTTGGCCCGTGTACCTAACATAAAAGAATGATCTATTTGTGTGCGAACGCCTTTCGGACATCTACTGGACCAACGCAGTGGCCCTGCCTTCGCAGGCGAGATTGATGGATTTGCTCGAGGACAGCTCCCTGGAGGAAGAGGTCCTTCGACCTGAAGGCTTGGAGAATGCGGTGATACTCCAAGACGCTGCGGTGATTTGTTCACTTTTGTTTCTTTCTGCAGGTAAGCCCATGCGGGGGCGTGTGGACGAAGCGATCATCCGACTAGAAAGGCCAATCCTGCACAAACTGCGAAGTGAGAGCTTCGAGCAGAACCAGTGTCATGGTAGAGCATCATTTTGGCTCACGAATCGGACGATTTCGGTAAGCAGCTCTGCCCACCCCCTGGCTCTGCACTGTTGAAGCTGTCCTGAAACTGTGCTCGATTGTGCCCAGCTTGCTGCAGAGATACTGCTTTTTCAGTCTCGTCCCAGAAGAATGCCTTCGGGGTTAAATTGCACATCCTTTTTCTATCATTCTGCCAGGCTCAACTCTCAGGAGGAGCCCGTGTATTCCATTGAGCTGGACGGTACTTGGGACGTCAAGTGCCAACCCCAATGTGGAGCCGGTTTTGGCGGTTTTTGGCTGTTTTGGGCATCGTTATTGTCGCTTTTGATCTTGTCAGAGGTATGCCGGGTCCTATGCCCCGGGCATCTTGTCATCTCCGACGCGCGAGTTGGCGCTCTTTTTGTATGGAACCTTGGCTTGCCTTGGCTCGGCAGAACCTGCTCTCTTCTCCCCCCAGCCCATCCCGGCCCATCCCGCCCATCCCGCCCCCCCTCCACATTTTGTGTTTTGGTCTGGGGCTTTCTGCCTGACTTAGGTGGAGGATTTTCGCTAGGAAACGCGCTGTCTTCTTTCGCACAGGGGTTTTGGGGCCGGCTCCTCAGACACGATCCGCCGAAAGCATTGTCGTACTGGTTTTTTGGTTCATGGGAAGCTCCACGCCAGCATCACACATTGAATTGACATGCTGAGGTCAGTCTTTGGGCGTGAAGCTGGGCTCCAAGAAGGCCCACAGCCCCACCGGCCCCGCAGATAACATAGCCTGGGCTGAGAAATGTCTTGATGTGCTACATTTCAGTTTCAGTCTGGGCTCAGGGCTAGGGGATACCTGGGATGGGGAGGTCCAGATCGCCGGTGGCCGCGACGTCGAAGCGTCAGCTCAGCTCGAAGTGGCGGGTCGGAAGGCGCCATCATGCTTGGAAAAGAAAAGGGCTCTGAAGGCTCTGATTCTCAAGGATCCCCTACTACAGAGAAGACTTGGTTGACACTGAAGATAGATTTCATCATGATCTTGGCCGAGAGAAGCCTGCATGGTATTGCAAGCGTGGCACGCAGGAGACACTGACTTACAAAGCTGAGCTGATGCCGCTGAGCGCGCAGCGCATGAGCGAAGAGGTGCCCGGTCAAGAGCAGCTGCATACTAAGGCATCCAGTTGCCTGCCCTCTGCCCTCACCTGTCCCTTTCCTTTGGCTTTTTCTTGGAAGGTTATCGCAGTGAAGCTACCAGACCCAATCGGCAGCCAGGACCGCTCTCAGCTTCATGCTATATTCGTTTTGTAAATCACGAAAGCTAGCTCCTTGGAGCTCGCGAGAGCTGTCGTTTACAAGAATTCTCTCTAGTGTTCAGCTGGGTCAAGAAGCGACTCCGACCCTTAAGTGGTCTGAAAATCAAAGAGATAAAGGGCTGTGGAGGGGGGCTCCCCCCCTTATAGGATTGACAAAATCAATCTTAAGGTGTGTCCCCCCCCCCCTTTCAGGGTCGCCTTAATTGATTTCTGGGGGGGGGGCCCCCCCCCCCCCCCCCTTTTCCCCCCCCCCCCCCCCCCCCCCTTTTCCCCCCCCCCCCCCACCCCTTTTCAGGGCTTCCCCCTCCGTCTTGGTCAGGCCCTGCTGTCGAGCTGTAAGGCCCCGGTGAGCATTCGAATCCGCAGCTTCCGACAGCTCTCAGTGCGACCGCTGCGTGTCCCATCCTGCGTCCGTCCGTGCGACCGCTGCGTGTCCCATCCTTGCGTTTTGCTTACAGTTCAGGGTTTGCAGCGTTGTTTTGTGATCCCCTTGGGTCTGGTGCAGATCATAGCCGCGTTTCTAGCTTTCGTGGCCCCGATCTCAAGTTGAGCTTTCAGTAAGTTCAAGCTGTAGCACAAGTTGCATGTGAAGCTAGTTGGATGATGGTTGAGTAGTCGAGTGGTCGGCAAAAGAGCTGGAATAACACAACCTGTGAGGATCTGCCGCTCGAGCTTCGTCGAAGCATCCTGGTGACGTATTTGGACCAGGACCGCTCGGACCGCCACCGCAAAGTGAAGCATCGAGAAAACGGAATGGGCGTCACAATGTCACAGGATATGATGATTGTCCGGGATGAATCTGGAGTTCCAGAGGCCTGAAAGCGGCCTTTGAGCACGCGGCTTATTGTAGAGAGTCTCCGGCCAGTCCGTGACCCCGAGGTCCTGGTGAAGGAGCTTTCCCCTGTTGCGCCCGCCATGGTCACAGAGGAGCAGGCAACCTGGATGTGACAAGCTCCAGTTGCCAGGTCACATGTCGCATGTCGCCAGGAAGCTTCAGCAGACGCCACGAATGGATCTACAACAAGCGACGAGGGCCCGGCACCAAACTGCCAGGAGTGAAAGTGATGACCACGCCCAGGTAGCGGCGCATGGCTTGCAAAGATCTGCTTTAGCCAGCGACTTTTGCGTTGAGTTTTTGCAGTGCCTTCGGCTGAGACCGGGCCCTGCTTGATGCAGCCGAGTCCGAGGTCGCCCCCCCCGACTTGTGTTTGTGTTGGATCAAAAGTTGGAGAGCGGGCGTATACAAACAAAACACGAAGCGAAAAAGCACTAAGCGAAAGTTTGCGCCCCAGGCATCTTGAGAACGAGGCTCCAAGGTTGGAGCACGTTTCTCTTTCTCCAGAGTTTCTCTCTTCAGAGTTGTCCCAGGCCTTTGTCACTCTTGTCCCTTCTCCACTTTTCTCCGCTTTTCCCTTTGCCTCTTCGCGTCGTGTAGGTGCCAGGGCTGAGTGACGTTTCACCCGCTGCCCAATCTCCTGTCAGAATTCCATGAGTGCACGTGGGCACGATTTCAGGATGCAGCTGTATGGATCAAAACGATGCCACAGTCTTAAGCAGGGCACTGTGGCCAGAGAATGCCGAGTGGCAATTTTCGCTATGTACAGCAGGCCTGCTTTTAGAGTCTACTACGACATACAGGTTTTCCGCGCCTTGGCCGCGACAGTGAAAGTTGCACCCCGGACTGTTTCAGCCAGCAGCACCTCATGACTCAATCTCCGTTGATGATGCCTTGCTGAACTTCACAAGGTGCTGCATCAAAAAGAAGCGCCATCAGCAATTTGATATCTTGGCAGCCGTAGGTACCAATGATGGTCCAAACACGTCACAGCCAGCAGCTAGCCAGAATGAGTCACGAGCAGAGAGAGCACCCTCACAGGCTGGAAGCAGCAAGTTGGCTACTGCAAAACTGCCTGAACTCATCTCCTGTTTTGTTTCGGCGGTCTTTGCTTGATTCAGCAAGTTCTTCGGCGACCATGACGGCAGAGACACTAAACCTGATCAGCATATCGTGCATGACATGCGGTTCCAATAATTTCCTACCCACCTTTCACGATGGGGGTTGGGACCTGAAGCGTGCTTCACATGTCACCTGTGCATGTCACCTCTGTGCTTCCGAATGTTTTTTTGGTGAGGTCCCAATGCTGCGCCCGACCCCTGGCAGCCCTGGCTCACCAAGCAGCCCAAGCATCCTCGTTCCGCGGCGAGGGATCCTTTTTAGGGGCCGGTTCTGTTCCAAGAGGCCCCCTTCCAAGGCACGCCCAAAACAACGCAAGATCATCTTTGTCCGTATCGCAAAGACTACGGACTGCGGTTAATGTGGCTTCTTGCCGTAAATCCTGCACTCCTAAACTTGTGCTTCACCGAGGCACTGAACCCAGTCTCCTACTTAATTCACGTCCGACTTTTTCTGGGCATGTTGGGCATGGCAAAGATGGATTTCAGGCCTGGCTTGACATCTTCCGCTTCTGCAGCATCCGAGACCTGGGCCCGGCGGCCCAGCAAAAAGCGTCTGCGTGGTTCGCACCTTTTTTTGACATCCAAACAACTCAGAATTGCACGAACGCCACTGTTACGGTGATCACGACGTGTCACGCCTGAGGTGCTGGGTTGGCAGTCGACCGGCATTGGAGAGCTGCGGTCGACTCCCACCATGTCTGGGCTGACGCCTACGTCGCACTCCCATCAGCCATCATAGTATGCTGAAATATGCACATTATGCACAACGTACTGCACAATGCGCTGTCATGCGCAGCTGGCACATGTCTGGGAAATCCTGGCGCCAAGGATCGGACGCAGAGAGTTGATGACTCCAGTGCCCCGAGAGGCACCTGGCCGTTTCACTACACTCACTACAAAGTCACTCAAGGCTTGTAGCCAAAGCCCAGCTCAAGGTGAAAACCTGCTCCGGTCACTCATTGAGCGACCCTTCGGAGAGGCGAGGGCGGCTCGGTAAAGAGCGGTGGGGTAAAGAGTGAAGGACTCGTGGATTTGACACGTGCATCCAGGATGCTGTCGGCTGGCATGTAGCTGTCCTGGCGGAAGACCACGGCTACAGTACTGAGCGCTACTACACAGGTTGGGGCAGAATCAGCGCTGTGATTCACCTTTTGCAGCATGTTCGGCCGATTGCAGGTCGCGTGGCTGCCTATAGTGCCGACACGGACACGTATCTCATAGCCTACGATTCAGAGGGTCCGGGCCCAAGAAGAATCCTTGTCACGTCCTCATCCTGACTCCACGCATTGAGTCGGGAGGTGGTCAAGCGGACCAGCCCAACATGCACTGGGAGCAGGACGGGGCTGCCACTTGCAAATGGAGATGAGCCTCATGGCTCACGCAATCACAGCGAACTCATGCGAACTCCACCCCGCTCCTAGCGGTGTTCCTACTTTTGTTTCTGAGCGGCTTTGCAAGCAGTGGCAAGCAGGCATGAGCCTGTCCAACAACCATGTTTCATAGGAGCGGCGGAAGCGGACGGCAGCCATGCGCAACGTGCTCAGTCATGCAAGATGCGACCACACAGTTACAACGGGTGCCATGTCCTCTAAAACATTGTTTGTGGCGAGGACACAATCCATCCCTTGCTGGGAAGAGTCGATTCTCTTTCTTGTCGCCGCCACCCCATCTGCCAAAGTCAGGCCGCGTTCGGAAGACGTGCACGCGAATGCATTGCACTTTACGCAGACATAAAACGTGACAGAGCCCCGCTCGACACGTTCAGGATCAAGCCACGTTGACACAAGTGTCGTGACATGCCATGATTCGCAGCATCTACATTCTACATCGAATTGCTGTTGCGCAGCAATATCTGATGCATTGTCAAGACCCCTACACTACTTTTTGCGAGTTTGGTACCAAACAACCCATTGAAGCAGCTCTTCGGCTTGACATAGTGAGCTTTTGTTTTCCTGTTTTCTTGCCGAAACTAGAGACCACCATGCAGCATCATTCCTGAAACACCCCCCGAAACCCCGAAGCGTGCACCAAATAGCGGTGCGAGCCTCCTTGGGCGGAATGCCGGGCGACCTAAGACATGGCACGCTCCCAGCTGTGCAGCTCGCGCCTCCTGCTGAGCACACTGGGAAGCGCCATCTTGACCGTGCTTCTCCTGAATGGTGTGGTGAGCGAGATCAACATTACCAGTATCTCCTTTTCCATCAACACTGGCAACCCTTTCTTCGCTCCTCAAGTGGAGCAGAACCAACAGAACCAAGAGAACCAGCTCAACATGCAGAGCTCTCCGCCGATTCCCGAGCCTGGTTTTACCAACATGCGGCCACGAGACTAAAGTCGCTAAAGCTATACCAGGTCGTGAAATTGTGCTACAGGCGCTCTAGGTTCCCGGCAAGATCAAGTTGCGGTGGTCTCAAGAATCTCAGGCATTGTTGCTGCAAACCTGGTGGCCGAGGCTCACGACACCTTCAACGACGACAGCTCCACTGGCTCCGATGCATGCAGTGGAGGATCCTGGCCCGAAAGATGCGGCAACTGCAAGCGAGACTTGGTGGAAATGACGGAGCCGATGGTGCAGAAAACTTGTTGCATGCGCTGAGTATTGCAAACGTCTGAAATGTCCTGACGAAAGCCAGGCTGGCCACACAGCTGTCCTCAATTCGGTTACCACCTCAGACCTTGCGCCCAAGTTTTCACTGGCGGAGAGCGACTCAGATCACGACTTGGGGGACTTGTCCCGCACGAAAGCTCAAGTGTAAGTTCAGGCCCCCCCCCACCTCGCTTCAAAGAATCGGGTTATGCTGAAGAGCAGCATCGGGTCGCTTTGGAAGAAGTCACGGACTCTAAGCTCTCGATCTCGACTGCAGTCGCATCGCCACTTGTGCCATGAGGTGACCAGCCTTGCGAGGGCACGCAGGTGGCATCGATGGAACTGTGCCAGGAGGCTGCCAAGTTCTTCGGCAAGCGATTTGCGCCGCAGCCTGCAAAGGAGCATGCTCTCATGGGCCAAGTGTTCTGGAGGTACTGTGATGTACTGACATCTCTTGGTCAATAGTATTAGGACAGATACATCGCGGCACCCTTGCAGTCTCCTGTCCTTTTTTTCACGACTTTTTTGCAGGTACATGCAGGTTGAAACATTCAATTGGAATCTACGCTCTTCTTTTGGGAAGTCTGAGTGAGGTCGGGGCATTGGAGGCACTGCAGGAGCCCACAGGATGCATCCACCGAGTCACTGACAATGACTACTTGTTTAACGTTGTGGCGACACAAGTCCACAAGGACGACAGACAGCGAGTCTGCAATGGAGGATCTCTGGGCTTTACGGGTTTTACCGAAGACGTGCCCAGCGCATCAAGCCACATGCAAGATGAGGCAGATGAGGCTGTCTCTACAAGCAACGGCATCAACGAAGACCCGGTGCCCGTAGACGAAGACATTCAAACCAGCGCCACAGACTGCCCTGCCAGCACATTCCCCTTGCGGGATCCGCAGCACTGCAAGAAGGCAGCCAGAATTCTCAAGCGAAAGTATTCTGGCCTCATCGCATCGCTGTCAGAACCTTATGGCTGCATCCACAGGGCAGCAGACCAGGACATCATGTTCAATCGATTCAGGACCAACATTTCGAAAGCTGGCCGTGAGATTGTTTGCAGCTCGAAGAAGGAGGCAGACACCAAGAAGCGCGAGCCCATTTCGCAGGCAAGCGCCCTGCAGCTAAAGCTCTATTGCTTTGGGTGGACTGCCCGCCGTCCTCGCGAAGAGCTCCTGCTACCGCTTGCTCGACATCTCTTTAAAGCTTGCGACGGCTATGCTTTCTTCACCGACACAAATGCCCCAGGTGAGGACGCACCTGACATTGTAAAGGTTGCTCTTCCACGGACCCAGCAGCTCCGCTCCGAGGAGTTCTGGTTGCTGCTGAAGAACATGGTGGGGCTTCTTCCAGCTTGGGAATACTTGCTCGAGCAAAACACTCTTGAAGGTTTTGATTGGATTGTGAATCTTGAGTTGGATCACTTCATGGTGGCGTCACAGCTTCGACGCACCATCGCGGAGTATGTTAACATAATGATACTGGGAAGCCTGCCAGGGCAAGATCCATGGGATGACTCGATCATGCTTATCTTCGGAAACGCTTTTGCATTCAACGCAAAGCTGGTGGAGCAAATGAAAGCTGAATGGGCGACAATCGGGCGTGTTGCTTGCATGCAGCTTTGCATGTGTGTTGGCATTGTCAGGATACGGTTCCGCGATTCTGTCAAATGGTCTAGTCCAAAAAAGCGCATGCCCCCTTGGTTTACCTCATTTGTGTTGAGGAGGCTCTTGTCTCAGCGCCGAGGTCATCACTGACAGCAAATCCAAGGGCATGGGTTGCCCCGTGATCTCTGGATCCCGTGCACACAATGAGGGCCACTGTGAGCAGGACATGGTCTACGCGGCTTTGCATGAGTGGCAGCTGTTTGGTTCGGTTGGTTCACAGATTAATGCTGATTTTTTGCTTGGCCCCCTGCGGTGTAAGAAACATCGGCCGTGTGTTGGTGGAGGAAGAGGAAACTGGAGCAACATACGGACCCCGAAAAATCGCGGACTCTCCCCAAGTTGCCGGACGGTCACATGGTCTTAATTGTCCTTGTCGGTGCCCTGCCCCTGAAGATTCTTGATTCTCTCAGAAAGTAGTAGGCCTCCGGGTTCCGATCCTGAGAAGGAAGGATACCAGGAGGAGATGGGCTGGGAGAGGAGGGGGGGCAATGGCTAAGGCTAGGGATCCAGACGCCGGTTAGCACAGCAGGCCTTCTGGCGCTATGACTGCAGATGGCTTTCTCAACGCTGTCAGCTGAGGAGAATCTGCGAGATTACTTAAGCCGACCACCCACGATCCTCGGCGCAAATGGATGCGGCAACGACGCAGTCTCTGACGTGCTGATTCCATTCCCGTTGGGTTGTTGGCAAGACTTTCCATTTGGTGAAGAGGAACCACAAAGGATGAAGGCGATTCGTGAAATCAGTCTGCTTTGGAACTTTACCGATTTGAAGTCCGCCGAAGCACATTGTAAGTCAAGAGAAGAAGACGTCGCGAATAATTGCAAGTCTTTGTTTCGAGCCAAGAGAGTGCCAATCCTCCACAATATCAAAACACCAGCCCTGCACGAGCTGGCCAGGGAGCTGCTCCTTCCCCTTGCCTTGAGAAGCACAGAGCTGACAGGGGAAAAGCCAAGAGAGCGCGCAATGTTTTGCTGCTAACTTTAGCATGCTGCATGTTAAAGCTGCGTGTCAATGACTCATGAGGGCGACTTACTCTGGGCACTTGCTCTCTGCTCTCTCGCTCGACAGGGGCTGTCAGCTCCTCGACAGCCAATGGAGAGCCCTCCTACAAGGCCGAGGGATAGACATGGGGGGGGAGGGGGGCCGGTGCGTCCATTCCACTTCGTCAACAACTCCAAAGCCGTGCTCATCCGCAGCAGCAACACGTCGCAAGGCGGCGCGCACAAGAGAAGAGAGCGCTGCCCTTGGCATGCTCGCTTTGACAGCCGTGTATGGGCATAGAAGCAGACCTGAGCATGGAGCTCAGCCGCGTTTTTGCTTGGAGATGATTTCCGCACGTTCGAGCGATCAATAGAATGATGCGTTCAGAGAGTAAAGCCAAGGAACACGGGAACCGTTGCGAGGCCAGCGGCAGCTCGTAGAAGCAGTTTTTTTCAAAGCATGCAGTCACTCGAAGATTGTTCACTACAAGTACTGCGACAGCAGTGCCTCATCCTGTCCACAATAGCCGTGGCATCAATTGAACCCAAAGCCCTACGAACACAAACCCGTACATACGAGAAGCGCTGCACACTGCAGAGTGCTGCATGCTTCGCATGCTCCAGGTTCCTGGAAGGAAGAGCTGAAGCACAATGCCGCTCGGGCTCAGATTTTAGTGTGATTACAGGCAGTTTCTGACAGGCCCGCTTCTGTAAGGGTCTGCAGCTTCTCACAGCAGGGGCTCACTTTGTTTTGCCCACCTTGCTTTCCACCTTGTTAGGTACTTCAGGCACCCAGCCACATGCTGACCCAGCTCAACGAGCACAGAGATGAGGCTCGAGCCTCCGACACCAGTTAAAAAGACATGACCTCGCCATCTCACCCCCCCCCTAAACCTCCCTGGAGCTCTCCTCCGAGATGGCCACTTGAGGTCCTCTTTGTTGTGTTCTCGCCCTGCGGAACTCGCTTGGCAAGCTGTTCTCGGGACTTGCAGACGGCTCGCAGCTTTCAATCTTGCGTTTGTGAGACTACTTTTATATAGAATGGCATAGTGTGTCATGTTTTGTTGTACATATACATATACATATATTTAATGGCTACCGCCAGTGCCGCCGACCCCAGACCCAAGACAGTCGCATTGGGGCGGAAGGCAGGGTGGAGCGCGGGCAGGCGGGGGGGGCGGGGGCGGGGGGGGTGGGGGTGGGTGGCGGTGGAAAGGGGGGCGGGGGTGGGGGGTGACGGCAGAGGGTTGGTGTCGGATGAGGGAGTTGGGGGCGGAAGGCAGGGGTGGACTGGGGGGCATAGAGATGAAGAAGCGATGAGAGCGGTGAGAGCGGAAGGGCGGTCGGATGGTGCACGATGGTGGGAGGGGGTAATGATGAGGGCTGGGGAGGGTTGGTGGGAGGGTTAGGGAGTGGGAGTGGGAGCTCTGGTGAGAGGGTTGGGGCGGAAGGCAGGGTGGAGCGCGGCGGGTGGACAGGGGAGGTGACGGTCGAGGGTTGGTGGAGTTGGGGGCGGAAGGCAGGGGAGTGATGAGAGTGGGGAGGCGGTTAGGGCGGGCGTGGATTGGAATCCCTCAAACTAGAGATTTGTCAGGGGTGGAGTAGGGGGTAGGGGCCTAGGAGGGAAGGGATGGGGGGGGGGGGTGGGGGGGGGGTGGGGGGGGGTTGAGGGTAAAGGGTTGGTGTCAGGGAGGGGTGGACTGGGGGGCAGGGAGGGGGAGTGATGAGAGCGGTGAGTGGGCGGGATGGACTGGAATCCTTAAAACACGAAAGATTGGTCAGGGGCGGCGAGGCCTGGGGCGTGGCGGGGGGTGGCCCCCACCCCCCACCCCCCCACCCCCCCACCCCCCCCCACCCCCCCCACCCTGCCGTAAGTGGGGGGGTGGGGGGGTGGGGGGTGGAGGGGGGGGGGGGGTGGGGGGGGGGGGGGGCTGGGGGGGGGTGGGGGGTGGGGGGGGGTGGGGGGGGGGGCCTTTAAACCACCTGAATGGATGGGGTGGGGGGGGGTCAAAGGTCCAATTCAAGGCGTCATGGGTGAGGGCGATGGGTGCATGCACTGAAGCCAAACAATGCAAAAACACTCCAATTCAAGGTGTCATGAGCAGCATGCTGTGAGAGCGGGTGAGGGCGGTGAGGGCGGTGGGGGGTCTTCACTGACGCCGCCCTGCTACCGCTGGGGTCGGCGGATACATATTATAGAGATATATATATATATATATATCTAGGACTTTTTTGTTGTCTACACATTCTGACTCAGATCGTCTTCAAAGTTCAGACGGACTGTGGCAGCCGGAGAGCTCAGCATGAGTAGGGTTCGCTCTCTCCTTGCAACCTGCTGTATTAAGGTTCTAGTGACCAGGACGACATCGTCCTCGATCCTTCAGCTAGTAGTGAGCTTGCGCCTGAGAGGATGTGCAGAAGTTAACATAGGTTACCCACTCAGTGCTGACCCCGAATCCTCTTTCCCTCAGAGCCTCCCCTTCAGGCCGAGATTCCCACGTTTTGAGCGCGAGGCTGTTTTCGCCCATCAGCCCTGGCCTTGAAGGGCTCTGCAATAGAGGCAGAATTCAGTGCGAAACCCACTTTTGGAACATCCCTGAAACCCCCCTTGAAACTTCCCTTGCAACTGTCTCAACCGTCCTTGAGCTCGAGGACGGCTCCGTGTCGAGCTATGTGGTGGCCAATCCCGCCGTATGACATGGTGGCAGTCAGCACCGAGGACAGCGACAGCAAGATGCAGGTCTCCCTTTTCCCCCTTCTCTGTTTCACAATGCAGCTCTACAAATTCTGAAAACATTGATCCTGCCCCCAGTGAAGCACCCATCTGAGGACGCAGGCGGGGGTTGGCAAGCGTCGAAGGTTGAGATCTGGCAGCGCCGGTCTGAGCCGGAGCCTGTAAATTGGCCTGTGGTTTTTTTGCCGAGACGAGGATTCAGGGGGAGAATGGCTCCGTGGAGCACTCGGAGTCGGAGGTCGTCGGGGTGAACAAGAGAGCGGAGCCAAAAAAACAACAAACGCAACAGAGGGTGAAGACTCGAAAGACTCTCGAAAGACTCTCCAGATTCTGAGACTTCCGGGGTGCAGGCTTTCAACAGCTCCTTCGAAGAGCAGCTGCCAGTAGGCTACCGTGCGAGGTGCATCTTCCAGCCCGCATCTCACGTGCTCTGACAGTGCAATGCGTATGGCAGTGTATTGCCTGCATGTGCCTACTGCAGCAACTGCAGCAGCTGTACTGCACTCTGGCCTGCAGTTGCCCAGGTGCCACAACAGGCCTTTCGACATTTACGCTGCCATATTTCCGTGGCCCCCTCTTTGTGTCTGGCACTGCTCGCTTTGGGGATTGAGCTGGGAGTCGTGTCCCGAAGCTACCGGAGGGTCATGCATGATCTTGCATGTTGAAATTCGCGAATCGGAAGAGAGTAGGTGCCACAATTGGGTAGCAGTATCTCGCGGTCTTGGGGTTTGTCCTGGAGACTGACGTCGTTGAATTTGTGATTCTCTTGTTGAAGCTACTGAAGAGCCGTTGACCTATTCCGACTGCAACTGTATCCGACTATATTCTTCTGCATGCGTGCCAGAAACTGCTGTCCCTTCATACTCTGCATATGTTTGGGCATGCCACTTGCAATCACACATCATCTGGGAGCCATGGAGTTACGTGGTCCTGAACCCAACTAGTGATCACTGCCATACAAGAGGCAACAGCGAACTCAGCTTCAGTGTGCCAGGTGGAGCCTAGCATCGAGAGTCCCAAGGACAGTCGCACAAGAAGTTGACGATGGCACCGTGGACCTATGTGTTTTTGTTCGTTGCACCTGTCGTAAGCACCTTGGAAGGATGAATACGAGCGGTTGTGCTTCCTTGCGGGATGGGCTGTCCTGCGGGAAAATGAGCACTATGTTCAAAGCTCAGTGTTCTCAGCACAATGCTGTCAAGAGCATTCTTGCCTCACTTATGCTGTAATTCACGGTTCCTGCCGCGACAACACGAACCTGGTGCGGACAAGGTGCAGTGGTTGAACGCAAGGCCCTTAGTCAAGGCATAAATGCTGTCAAGGGACATGCCAACGAGCTGCGCCACTGTCATGACTCGTGGTTCGGCTTCCCGTGGCAGTTCAGACGATTTGGGATTTGTTCCTGATGTTCAGGTCTGGCCTGGGCCAAGGCATCCGAGTTTTCAAGATGCACAGGCCCACCCACATCTACGCAGCTGACGCATGAGTAGACGCAAGTACTATCGTGTTTTGAAAGACTCTTTGTGCCAGTTGTCCTATGTTTGTGTTCTTGCTTTTTTTGGCAATTTCTGAGACTTCTTTTGGGCTCCGCCGGCCTTGCGGCCTTGCGGCGCCGTCACAGGCACCGACAGCGAGCGGAAGCGCTCCACGGCCATTGGCCAGGCCGACAAAAGAGACAACCACCATCTCCTCTGTATGGGGGGTGCGGGGAGTGTGAAGGGACGAAAGGAGCTTGAGAGAGTGCACGTCGAAGCCTGAGAGGCTTCGTCTTGAAGGGGAGATGAACTACCTTCATTGCTTGGAGGCGTGCGATGCTTGACATGCAAGTAGCACTCAGAAAATGCCAAGCGTTGCTTCGCCAGGGTCGGAGATGCTGTGACAGTGCAGTTTCAAAACTTCTGCAGGTGGGCCCACCAGACAAAGTGGGCCGCCAGCAAATCTTGGCCATGACGGGCAGCACTCCTCATCTCTGCAACGAGATAGGTGCGTCCCCCTACCAGGGATTCTGGTAGAGTGGGCGTGGGCGGGCGCTACCGTGAGAGCGAGAGGGATTTGTTGCCTCGAAGAGAAAGCACTGCAGATGCAGCGAATTCGTTATTCTCACAGGATCCAGAATCGGAATTAAGCGAATCTTGAGTGAGCCACGAACCCATGCCCCAAAGACGAGGCTTGATGGACCTGAGCCGCTTGCAAAGACGAGGTGAAGGAGTTGAAGGCAACACTGCTGTCTGTATGGGTGTGCAGCTCCCTACTCTGAACATCCACACCATAAAGCTGAGCCGCATTAGGTGAAACCATCCGCGGCCCTGCACCGGATGGAGAGGTCTGCGACCGTGTTCTCTAGCACCCACTCACTGCACTTCGCTTGCGTTGCACAACTCGCGTTTGTGTAGCAAGTAGGCTGGCTCGGCCTTGCCTGCAGTGTACGACGTGGGAGTCAAGGCACGAGTGCAAGCACATGAAAGGCTGACAGGCGAAGTGCTGCTCGAAAGGTCTACTCTATGGGGGAGCGCGTCGTGCTAAGCGCTAAATGGAACGAAGCCGGCGATTTCATTCTCCTGAACACAAGGCAGGCAAGTGAGCAGATAGCTGAATCAGTTGGGTGTAAGAGGAAGCAAAATGCTCCAAAAGGCCATATGCCCACGCTGCATCTGGAAGCAATAAGAACGGAGGCTCGCAGCAATGCTCGCAGGACAACACGGGGTGGGGGGGCATGTGTGCAACTGACACAGGGCATGGCGATGCTTCGCATACCTCACAGGCCAGGCACTCCCGATACAATCTCAAGACCCCTTGGACCGTATGCGAAAAAAATAACCTTCTTGTCATCACCTGAAGGCCCCACTGCAAGGTTCAGCAACCTTCGAGGACGAGTTCTCCATGTCTTGTTGAGCGTGCAGTTGTTGCATCTCTGATAGCCCGATTCCCGAGTTCACTTCTTCTATGACACTGTGTCGTGCGGAACAACTTGTTGTTGTGAGGAAGCTGTGTTATGTTGAAGACGCGGGGCTTCATCTGTAGTGGGCAGCTAGACTGTGTTGGCCAGCCACGTCCTTTTGGGTGACTTGGGCCTCGACAGGGGCGTACGAGGGTCCTCGCAGCAATCCAGGTAGAAGTGTACGGCTTGCTTGCTTGCTTCGATGCAGCTGTGGGGACAGTGAGGAAGGAACAGCTGCAGCTTCAGCTTCTTGCCATCCTCATCGCTTCAGGATCTTCTCCTACGGCCAGCTCCAGATCTGCTCACAGCTAAGATTCAGCTCCAGTTTCAGTGATGCTTCCAGTTGCACGTCTTGCGCCAGGTCCACCAAAATGGAGCTCTTGCTGCTAGATGCCGTATCCTTAAAAGGAACCGGTGCAGTGTTTGCAGGCCACAAATCGTACATCTGGCCAAGGCCAGAACATTGGACATCCTGTCCGTGTTCGATGGTCATTTCGCGTTCACCACAAAGGCTCCATGATTCTCAAGGTGCCAGAACTCTGCATAAACTGCTATTTGGAGGAAAGCCCATTCCTGATTTTCACAGAAGAGCCGGGACCTCATAGATTGCGAGAAGAGAACTTCGCAGTGCACACCACGCTGCGCTGTAGGTGGTCGGACTCTGACTTTCTGGCAAGCGGTGGCGAGGAGATTGACACGCATCTGCTTCTACATGTATCACAAGCATGGCAAAGTGGTAGCCCGTTCGAGGTCATGTGGCACAGCATGGAATACAGGAGGATGCAAGTGCTTGAAATTCAGGAGAACCCAAACACAAGTGGAACAGGCTGCGTAACAAGAGTTTGGTTGAAATTTCGAAGCTGGGCGTCGACCAAGCTGAAATGATTCTCAAGAGGATCTTGGAGGTTTCTCAGCTTCCTGGGCCTCAACTGTTTTGGATTCTTGAGCAGATGATTTGGGAGGAACGGATTTGGAAGTGGTCGAACAGAGCAAAACGAAAAGGCTTGTCATGGAAGCTTCACACAAGCCCATCAGGCCGTGGAAGTCAAGCACCGGCGCACCGCAAGTCCCTGTCGTTGTTTTGAAGCACTATGTTGCCGTAGCATTTGCCCAACGCAAAGCTGTCAGTCGGTCTTGAGTTTTGTGGATTGCCTGTGCAATCCATTACCACATTGATGGAAGGATCATCGCGTGTATGTTTGGCACCGTCGTCACGGTCGCTTGATTCGCCGGCTTTGCGGCACCGGCCTCAGCGATATCGGCACGTAGCACTTTGTTTTGGAAACAGGCAAGGTTGAAAACGAAGCCTTGAATTGTTTGACAGTCTGTTGATCCGTGCGCCCTCTTCAATTAATGTTCCGCGCGTAGTGCTTGGGGAAGAAACCAATCAGTCATGTGGTACATGTCCGCAGCAGCTTGGCTCGCGCCAGAGTACTTTCCTGCCTACTGTTGATCTAGCTGCAGCACACTTAGCAAAGGGCGAAGATAGTGTGTTGCGCACGTGTGTGTGTGTGTGTGTGCATCTTGTGTCATACGAGAACTAACTTGAGGACAGTTGGCTGGCGCTGAACCAAAACATGTGCCGCTCTTAGCTTCGGCTCTGCTTGGTGGACGCTGATGGTTTCCTGTCAGCCCAGGTTGTGCAGTTGGTCTTCAGTTATGCTGGCAACTACCGCATGCTGCTGTACTATTTGGTCAGTGAGTGGAAAGCCCCATGAGCACCACATCCTCAACGAGGAGATTCATGCTGAACTCAGTATCAGGGCTATGTCTGCTTCAAATGTGAGCGTGCGTGAACTTCACGATCATACCTGTTTTGGCAGGAGCCCAGGATTGAGTTGAGAAGGAGCTTTCTTTCCAAGTCGCAGACTTTCGCTTTGCGTCGCCTGGCGGAGAACGAGATGTACCAGGATGTCGGCACTGCAGAAAGTGGTAGCAAGTCATCAGCGGATATTGCTGGCGGCGAAGAGCTGTGCGTCCTAAATGTTTCTGACATGGAACCAGACGGTGAGCCAGAATGGACCGCTGTGGAAGACTTCGTGCATCAGGCCACGACTTGGGGTGGGGGTGAATCACACGACCAGAGCAAGCAGGGGCTCCCTCCGGTCTATGTGACACGCTGGGAAACTTGGAGGCATGATGGGGCCCTGAACAGATCTGGGCCTCTGCACTTGGATGCGCGCCTGCACCCCGAGCGGCGCCGCACCGTCCTTGCATACCTGACTGGGACAGGAGATTTCAAGAAGGATGGTGGAACTGTTTTTCCATGTCTGGAGACTGACGACATGGACACGAAGGAAGCTGCTCGACGCCAGAAGCTTTGCTCACGGGCAGCAAGGCACCTCCAGCATGCACATGAGAAGCTGCTTGCACTTCGTGCAAAGGGCTTGGAGCTGCCTCCATCCAAGCAGTACGACTTCTTGGAAGAGCATCCAGAGCTCGCTGGTCTTCCAGCAGAAAATGCTGAAGGGATCCGGCCGGTCAATTGGCTGTGGCTGCCAGGCTTCGATGGCCTTGCAGCCGAGGCTCCAGGGAAACTTCGTGCAGAGCCTCTCCATCTGTTAGCAGAAGCCATATGTCGAGGAAAGGCCCCCGGCTTTCGGGTTTCGTCTAGAGATGGAGATGCCCTGCTCATGGACGTGTTGGAGCCAATGGATGAAAGCACCTCCATGACCGAGCAGAAGGTTCCCAAGGTGGATTGGCGCTTGTGGCATGCTGGATGCAGTCCAGTCGATGGCAGTGGCTTCCGGATTACCGCACAGATCTTTTTGCATGATGTGCACTCTCTGAGAGCACCAAACGCTCAAGCATGCGAGGAGTGCAAGGGGTCCTGCCGTAGTGCTAGTGCTGCTAGCGCGTGCAAAGCAGCAAATCAATAGGATTGCCCACAGGATGTCGGCAGAGCACAGGGGCGCTACAATCTAGGCAAGAGCTTGACAGACAAAAGGTCTCGAACTTGCAGATGCTTGCATTTCATTTCATGTCAACACTCCGATGAAAAGTCCTAAGCCTCCTAGGTTCCTCGTCCTCAAAAATCCTACCAGGGTTTGCACCCCGAGGCCATGCTGAACCTGTCAATGCCGTGAGCTGGAATGGTCAGGAACTGAACATTTGCATTTGGTGTGACTTTTGGCTGTAGGGCTTCTGGGGATTTAGGTCATAGGCCTTCTCTCCCTCAGGGAGCCCTGCAAGCTTTCAGTTCTCACGAAGGTCAAGGGTTGCTGGCTTCAGCTTCCGATGACAACAGCATCATCATTTGGGCTGCCGCAGGCGCGTACAGTATACCACACTGCTGCACCACATGTGGACGCACAGCACCGAAAAAATCCGACAGGCGCCAAAGTGCGCCCGCAACGAACAGCTGCACGGGGCCCTTATTGAGGCTTTGTGCGTGTGCAGCATCCAACACCAGTCGGGCACCGAGGCCGGTGATGGCTGGCCTGAGCAACACGAGCAGGATGCGCAGCTTTAAGCTTGCCTTCAAGGTTAAAAATGTTGACCGAGTCTCCCAGACATCACTGTGACCCTGCATGCTAAACGATGTGTGTGTGTGTGTGTGTGCGAGCATCAGGTTGCAGATACATGTTGTCTATCCGCTTCACAAGGGTGCAAGATGTGCAAGCTTTCGTTCAGCATCGCTCAGGGAGTCATCGAGCAAGTGGCGAAGTGTGGCGTACCATCCAAGAGAGTACTGACATGTGGTTTGGTCAACGAAACGGGTAGGTCCAACCAAGGTCGAGCGAGCCTTTTCTGGAGCCGCCCTGAGCAGAATAGAATCGTGGCGTGAGGTGACTCATTGGGGTCTCTCGCATGGCCCGCATGACACCCTTCATTGAAACCTCACTGCAAGGGACCGCCAAGCAGCAACACTTATATATGAGGAGCCCTGGGTAAACGGCATCCCGCAATTTATCGAAGCCGTCGCTATTTCATTGGAGTCTTGTCTGTTCTGAAATGGTCTCCTGGGATCTCCGATTTGTGGGGTCTGCTTCCCAGGTGCCATCTGCCAATTTGATGATGGGGAGGGGGGCTGTCCTGGGCGGTTGGAGTTTGCAGCCAGTTCGGCCTGAAGACACACGCGAGGATTCGTGGCAGCGATTGCGTGACCCTGTTGTCGGTCATATGTCCGATACTCCTCATAGATGCCGGCCAGATTTGTCCTCAATGCCCACGACGACAAGTGGGCCAACAACCTCAACAGCCGATTGCTAGAAAGTTATTTCGCTGATTTGGGGCCAGTCTCACTGAACATCGCGGTGGGATAAATAAAGAGGTCATCTTGACTCAGGCCACTGGGTTTTAGCGAGACCACATCCCTTTGCTGGCAGAGGTTCAAATCAATGCCACCACGGAAGGGCAGCCGCGGACTGGTAGGCTGGACGCAAAGCCATCAGCAAACCCGAAAACAAAGAAACATTGCAGGATGTCTTCCTCGGCACCCAAGGTGCCTTGGGTAGGTACCTTGGGCTGCGGGAGTTGAGAACTATGTCCAAATCTTGCCCAGACACATTATTCCCTCCGGATGAAGTAGAGTTACACCCCACAAATGCTTTATTGGTGAGAAATCTTGGACTTTGATGTGCAGATAAGCCCATAGGAAACTTTTGCAGTACATGCACGCCATGCGGCGGGAGGTCTTGAGCAGCACCTTCCACGTGTGGAGCGACAAGCGTAGCATCCCTCTCCATTTTGCTATTTTGGCGCAGACGAGGTGCGATGCAGCTTGCAATCAACGTCGGCAGGATCTCAGTCAGAATCAAAGAAAGTCTCGACAAGGATGAACCTAAGTACATTCGGGATTCATTTACTGAAGCCCGACAGAATAAATGGCACCACGTGCCTTGCTGGGCTCATGAGGAGCATCCGCGTGTCCGGCGATCAGAGTAACCTGAACCTTGCCTACTTAGCTAACAACACACATAAGATTTGGGGCCTCGCGAATCTGCCCACAAAGGAGTTGACATCAAAGGATTCTTTTTTCGGATCCATATTTGAAGCCACACTATTTTTCCGAACAAGCACAGCAAAGCCGTTAGTGGCAACTAACTTACTTACAATGAGTTTTGCCAACGCCGGCAAAGATTCAGGGGGCCTCGTTTACGACACTTCTTGTCGACCCACCGCCTATCATGTTGTCTATAAGATAGCTATTGACAAACCCTTTAGTCTTGGCTTTGCTTAATTTCATCTTTATAATCACGGGCCTCTAAAAAAATGCCAAATCTGCATATTGTTTTTGACGAGTGTCCGTCACAAAGGGCTAGTGTGCATTCTACGTAAATAATCCGAGTCGAAATTAATTAGCCTGCTCAGAACCCACGCTTTGTTGTGCTAGCTGGCAGACAGGAAATTGACCCCTGCTGCGCACTTCGAGCATGGCTTGAATATGACGGTTGTGAACGGTGGCGTCACCGATGCAGGCTCGCTTATATGTTGTCACGTCATGTGGTAAAGACAAAATCAAGATTTCGTTTATTAAGAAATTTATGACACTAGAACTCATGGTAATTGGGAGTTTTTTAGATATAGATTTTTGTTATGTAACTGCCTAATAGACATATATTTTGGTAATATTTTGAATGAAAAAAGAATTAGTATATTTAGATGATTTTCATGGATTTGTTTGATATTCTCGATA